CAGGCCGCGAGGCGCGGCCCGCCGGCAGCGGCCCCCTCGCCCGGATCCCAAGGAGTCGTGCCCGCCCTGGCCCGTCCTCACCGCCACCAGCCGCGCTCCCCCTCGCCCAGGTACAAAATCCTCTCGCTCCCCCGGTGCCTTGTTATGGCGACTCGACGCTCCAAGATGGCGGCTTCCTCCTTCCTCCCGTGCGCCCACCCCCTCCCGGCGGGCGGCACCGCCCCGGCCCGCACGCACTACGTACGTACGTACGTACGTCGCTTCGGCGTGCGCGCCGCGTCACCCATGGCGCGGTGCCCGTGTGATGTGGCGCGGTGCTCGTCGGGACGGAGCCTCGGGGCCGCCCCTCGTCCCTCAGCCTGGCTCGTTCCCTCAGGCCTCGCTCGTGCCTTAACGTCGTTTCGCCTGGAAACGTTACGGGGCTTCGCTATGTAGTTATTAAAACAGAGCCAACACAAACGTAACAATAAAAGACTGATCCACAACCTGTACGGAGTTGTAACCACCGATCGTAACAGACTAGGAATTGACATTTCTTTTTAGACGGATGTTATTTATACATGGATTTTGACGAACGGAGACACAATGGGAATGTAATCACTAGCACTTATACAGCTGGTAGTTCCAAAACTTCTTTGTAGACGAATTTTTCTTCAAATGTTTCTACAAAATGCATGCAAAAGGACAAGGAAGAGCGTTTTGGCTCGCATTTCAGTTTTCATCTAGTTCCTCACATCTACAGCTGTCTCCAGGTGGTTGTTTATCCATCTTCAGCAGCAAAAGGCATAGGCAGGACTGGCACCATCGTTGCTGGCCCTTAAAGGAAGTCCCTGAGGCTGAGTGCTCCATCCTCCAGGTCTAGCTGATTGAGAACATCCTCCCTAATCTCTCCATCTCACAGGGTCAGTGGTACCTGACTCTTCACATTACCCCTCAGCCTTTGCAGTGCAGGGCTTCAGGACGGGGCTTGCTCAGTATGTGTTCTCCCTGAGGTGGGCCATGTGAGTGAGGCACAGTGTGAGCTCCTGATGGTCTCGTCCGGCTTTGCTGCTCTCCATCCCGTCTCCTCTCAGTCTCCTTTAGGAGCACATGGAGATGCACGTAAAGGTCCTCACAGCAGGGGAGGACAGTGAGATCCTCGGGGCAGTAGGTGCCCGGCAAGTTGGGATCTAAGAAGTAGGAGGAGTGGTAATCCAGCAGTGCTTATCTGAATAACACCACCTCCTTCTTCACCAGTCCAAAGTCCCATCAGAGTCATTGCTGGTAGAGAGGCCTTGGTGCAGCTCTGCCTAGACAAGAGGAGGACAAGCACTGTGCTTGTCAAACTACCTCAGCTCGTCACATAGGAAAAGCTTTCTGCCAAAATGCTAGCTGCAATGCCATCTTACTCTGCTGACCCAGACCGGGGCATTCTCACTGTGAGTCTGCTGCTGTGACATCACGGAACAAAATGCCTGTTTACCCGAGCAGACAACATCCTAATTCTTAATTCTCCTTTGTTACCCTTGTGCAATCAAGCTGTGTCATGCAGCTGCCCAGCCCCTGCTAGCCCTGTTCTAGTCTTACAAAGCGGCTGCCAAGGTTTTGCTTTCCTGTGGAAGCCACCTCACACTCCCCCAGGCTCAGACGAAGGGCAAAGCAGCAGGAGAAGGAACAGAAGACAACCACAAGTCACTGGGGTTAAAGCAGCCAAGACCCTAAGGCAGAGGGCAATGATCATACAGACCATACCCATGCTTCAAAGTCCTGCACAGCTCTAGAAAAGAGCCTGAATCCAGGAGGCTTCTGCTACCTGTGGTCCCTTTCCTAAACCTTTCARACCACCTGTAACAGGGATGGCTGTGGGCAAGAGCCCTGAAGGTTTCCAGGGAAGACCTAAAGATGTTCTGGATCTTCTGTGGTACAGAACGAAAGAATATGGATTCTTCAAACTGTACTTTAAAAATCAACTTGCAGCACTAGTAAAAAGATTATAAAGCTGCCTGCTATTCTTCACATCAATCAGGTCCTCTATGCCTGGAGTTCATTTGCCTTGCAAATACTCTATTGATACATTCTGTGTCCCTCCCTATTCACTTAAAATCTGAACTCCACCCCAGAAAAGAACTTTTGAAGAAACTTCTGGAGGAGAGACGGATCCTGCCCCTCAAACCATGGGGCCTGTCAGCTACTCATCAGAGACCTATGACTTGGTGAGTTGGGCCTGGCTTTGCTTGATAAGGAAGGGCAGGTAGAGCTGGGGTGGGCTGAATGGCCAGGTTTCTGGCTGTCCATCTTTTCACCCTCGTGGTGGCAGAGCCAGAGCTTGAGCCATTTCTTATGCCACCATAATCAGCCCTTACATCCTTTAAGTCTAAACTTGACCACAAGCACAACACTGTTGCTTGCTGAGAGCCAGCATAATGTGGCTGCAGCCACTGTGATCCAGTGGTGCTGGATATTCCACTGGGGAAAGCTGCCTAGCTACCGGGACCTTGTGCGCAGACATGCTGGGAAACACTAAGCCCAAATACTGTCCTTGCATGAGGACACAGACCAGAGACTCTGCAAAGAGCCAGATGACTCATCTGGAGAGCAGGACTCCAGCAGTCCCATCCAGCGCTGCCAGCCTGTCCCAGCTTCTGCTCCCTACTGCCCTGATGTCTGCACAGCCATTAGCACGATGTGGGCGTAAAACACTTATTCTGAGCCAGCACTTTATTCACCAGCCTTCGGTGGTATAAATGACTGCATACACAGTGTGCAAAGCCCTTGTGTTATCCAAGGGGAAGTATACAGCAGCATTATTACCCTGGTTTTCAAATATTGCATTTCAGAATTTATTTTCTACTACAGTGGCTCTCTGCAGCAGACAGCAGGTTTAGATATTCCAAAGAGAGAAATGTTGGATTCAATTGTTACCAAATATTCTGTTTGTCCTTTCTCCTATGCACCAGGGAAGAGCAAGGTGGTGGGGAGCAAGCCCTACCCTCATTTCTTTTCTGATTCAYGCGGTATAAAAATCCTTTGCAAATGGTGGTCATTCCTTTAGAACTTTTTTGGAGAAGACATTTCTTTCCCTGACCTTTGTTGAAGTTCAGTGGCAGCATTAAAATTTGCTGAGAGGTTGAAACCAAACTCAAACCTTTTTCATCTCCATGCCTGGTTCATTCCTCTACTTGAACTCTTCATTGGAAATCTGTCCCGCCACCAGAAAACCATCAAAGTGGAAGTGTGCTGTCCACTTGGCCGCAGCATATCACACACTATAAGCATGTGGCTGCTTTGTGGCAAACCTGAATAATTTTTTAATTGGGATTAAGCAGCACAGGGTTTATTTCTTTGCATACAAAACTCTCCATTATTCTTAGTTCAGTGATTTTATCTCTGATGTGAGTTATTTCACATCATAAAGAAGACCCCATGTGATGGAGGGAAAACCCAATTGATTTTAGGACTAAACACCCACAGTCAGGTGCCACRGCAGGAGGACTTTTAGACCTCTTCTCAGACTTCTGCAGTTAGGAGTTTGACATATGTTGTTTCCCACCTCTGTCTCCTGGCTTCCCAGATTTGGCTCCCTCTCTGGAACAGAGGGGCCTCAGATATCACATGAGCATCACTGTATTTGCTTCGGTGATAGCTCATGTTGCTTTACTTAAACTGGGTGCTTGTGGCAGCAACCTACCCACAGAGATTTGAAAAAAAAGGGCCTCCAAAGTGCCTTGTCAAAGTGGCAACACAAACCCTGCCTTGTGCAGAGAGATTGCTTGATCAATTGAGCAATTATGGAAGGAAAAATTATGAGAATGTTTGCACYGAAAGGGCATTTATCTCAGTATCTAACAGTGCATACAGTGAGGCCCTCACTTAAATTTTGATACCATACGAGACCATTCAACTCTGTAACCTTGCGGAAAAGTAACGTGTCCAACAGTGTAACCCCATTTCTCCATAGCAAAAATGCTTTGCTGCTAAGCTTCCTCAGCTGCAGACTAGACAATGAAAAACACAGTTGCAGAAGAACCACTGAGATCTTCAGCAGGTTCCCTGAGGTTCCTCAGGCCAGTTTCCATAGCAATGGGACCAACATGACTCAAGAGCATAAAGGCACCCGCACTACAGTAACATGGTATTTCCACCATGTTACTGGTGGAAATAAAGGCCTTGGTCTTTATTCCTGGATTTCCCTGGTTCAGTCCCTGGAGAAGTCATGAGCAGAAGCCCAGTCAGTAAATTGCAGTGATGTGAGCAATTACAGTTTTTAGGTTTTGGGAATGAAATGTGCTGCTCCCAGCCCTGGCATGGACTAGAAGGGAATGGTTCACATGGAAAATCTGTAACAGTGCGCAAGCTGCTTCACTTCTGCAGCCAAGTGTTTTGATCGCTGACAGTTGTGGGGAACTGAGAAAAACAGTTGACACGCAGAGACTGGGATAACTCTGTGATACAGGTTATAGGGGTAAAGGGATCCCTGAACAAAACGTACACAGGATTTGCCTTCCTGGGCATGCACCTGACTGCTCTGTTACAGAAAGAGACACCACTTTTTCTCCCACCCCCAAATCTGCTGCATTTGTCATGCAGGAGACCTGTACAAAGGTCTCTCTGCATGCACACTGTTGACTTATTCCATCCCAGATCCACCCACTTTCAGTCCTAGAAACGAGAATTGCAGTAGAGTCCCCAGAAGCCTCAGCTTGAGCTGAGGTGCTATTCAGTGCACCTCCTGTAGCTGTGGTCCCTACCCTTCCTCTCTCAGCCCAGACTCTAATTTTTCATTTTCTTTTATTTATCTCCAACTCATCTCTGTCCGCTCCTACCCACATGTGCTCTACTCAGAGATGCAGGACGCTGCTCCGCACACACTTCCCCTGCCCACAGTGAGTGATTTACTGTAAGAGCCCTCCCTATCTGCTCCCCATCTGCACTCAGATGGTGTCTGGTAGTGGCACTCAGCCTCTGCGCTTCCGGCTCCAAACACAAGGCAATGCTGGAAACTGATCAGCAACCAAAGCCACTGAACACTGCCCAAGCTGCCCACCCACTGCCATCAATGCTGCTGGCATGGCTCCAGGGGAGGATGGACACTCGGGCCAGCAAGCCCAGCCATTTTTCATAATTTCATTTTTCCTTTCACAGCTGGAATTGTCCAACCTCTCCCCAGTGAAATTTGCCATTCCAACATATTATCTGTTTGGGGTTTTCAGCACGGTCACCTGCACAGCCTGAGCAGCCTGGTTTGGTCGTTGCACCAAATTGCAAAGGTTTTTGGGTTGGTTTTGGTTTTCTCAGAGAGATTCAAGGATCTTGCCCTGGCCAACACATCAGTCACAGATTTCTATGTGTGTTGGTAACTCCTGATGAAAGATCTGGGTACGGAGTAGGCAAGAAATACTTTCAAGCTGGGGAGAAGAATAACTGAGAGGGATTTCTTAAGGCTTTTGTCTTTAGCAGCCATCTCTGGTCTCCAAAATCATATCCTACACCAGAAAAGTTCTTTGGTAATACAAGATGGTTCTCACCAAAGGCTTGCAGCCCCACAGTTATATTAGAGGAAGGAAGACAGTTCTGTGTTTGAGGTTTTGGGCAGGGAGGATTCCTGGCCCCCAGGAAAACTGGCTCTCACCTGTTCAAGAAGAAGCACCATGGCATCACAGCACAGCCACAACACCCCTGTGTGCAGAGCTGGTGTGGAATGGGACAGACCAAGAGCAGCTTGGGTCATAGCAAAGGCTGGCCCAGCATTCTTCCTGGCAGTAGCCAAGGGTAGAGTCCCAGGAAAGAGGGCAGGGTTATTCCACACTTCTCTTGAAGACTCACTCGCCCTCCCATTGTCCACTACTTGGGGAGTGCCTGCGCCAGCTGTCTGCTCTACATGTTTGGTAATGCTCCACAGGCTTCTGCCCCATCAGTATGCCCAGGCTCCTCTTGGAGCCATGCAGATGGTTTCAGCAGCAGAGCAGTTAGGATGAGCAGTGCTGCTGCGAAGTCACCTCTTTGCTCCACACAGTCATGTGCAGAGGCACCCAGTGCATTACCCAGGGAAGGCTGCCTGAGACAGAAGAAACATAAATCACCCTTCCCTAGCTAGGCACAATGCAAGGCTCTAGGCTGGTCACAGTAATTTTGCTTAGTAGCACATGGGGTGAGCAAACGCCCCCCCAAATCAGGTCTAAAACTGTGTAGAGCAGGACTTGTATTTTTAGACAGGAACTCTGATGAGGGAAGGAGCAGCAGGTGCAAACTGCTGCAGCTGGCAGTGAAAGGTATGAAACATGAGCAGAGACTTCCGCTGTGGTCAACACTGAAGTCTCAGCACAGGTCTCCAGAGAGGGTGTGGGTGGGGGACCTCAGGGTGACTGCTGCTGAGCTCTTCCCAGTTGTCACTAATTGTCAATTTGCCACAAGCCTCCTCCACTGCTCTCTTTTTGTGCAAGGTCAGCTGGAGCTTGACCACCATCCAGGAAGCTCATCCTGAGTGCAATTCCAGCTTCCCAGCACTCGAGACTTGTCCACAGCCTCAGCACGAATACAGGCTGGTCAAGAGGATACAGCAAGCCAAGGGTGACTCTGCAGCAGCTCTATTGCACTTCCCTTGCTGGGTATCAGCCTGGGATACAAGTGTTGTTTTCCCTTCCCTTTCCTGCTCTGAATGCAATTAATTCAGAACTGGAAGGTTTATCAATAGAACAGATCTCTCTCTCCTTCCTCTGTTCCTGTAGCTGTGGCACAACATTGCCTCTGAGGCTTTCTTCCCGTTGTGTTTAACACCTGTCCCACATCTTCCTGAGTGTGTTGAAAGGAATCTCATAGGACAGCTGCTGCGGTCCCCACCTCACCTTGCTCTGTCCTAGGCAGCATCCAGGCCTCTGTGGAGAAGAAGGGGACAGGTTCATGGCACAGAATTTGAGGTACATAAGTGCTGTGCGGTGAATCCTACCACATTTATATCCGACAGTAGACAGCAGGCAGGACAGAAGTGGTCCGTGTCAGAAATGGGTAGAAAAAATGGGGAAAGCTGGTAGACAAGGGTTCCATTCTTTGTGAGAAAGCAAAATTCACCAGCAGGTAACTTGGCAAAAACCAGAAGATGAAATTAATCATCTGACTGGACACCAAAACATCTCCAAACACTCCAGTTAAAGATTATGGACTGTGAACAGCCCTCGCTGTCAGGGAGAAAACCCTCTCCACCTGCTGCTCCTGGCAGTGGAGGGGCCTCCGAGGTCATCACACTGCAGACAGCATCTCCTCCTGATGCAGGTGGGCTGCAGGATATGCGGATGCTCCACTCTAGGTCTGCCAGGTGCAGCTGAGGGACTGAGTTCTTGTGTTCAGAAACTCCCCTCCATTAACAAGACTCTCTCTGTTCCCCAGAGCCAGGTGGAGCTGAGCGGTTACTACGAAGCTGAGAACACCACCCCTTCTTTGGAGGGCTACTTTTGCTTCAACCCAACCTCATCTGTGGTTGGCAACCAGGGAGACCCCTTCAGAAAGGTCTTCATGCCCCTCATCTATCTGCTGATGTTTGTGTTGGGAACTGTGGGTAATGCCCTCGTCCTGGTCATTTTAGAGAGGTTCAAGAGGTCACGCACCACCACAGAAAACTTCCTTTTCCACCTCACCCTGGCCAACCTGGCATTGTTGCTCACCTTCCCATTCAGTGTGGTGGAGAGCTTAGCTGGGTGGGTGTTTGGGAAGTTCCTCTGCAAGATACTCAGTGCTGTCCACAAGATCAATTTCTACTGCAGTAGCATGCTTCTAGGGTGCATTGCAGTGGACCGTTACCTGGCCATCGTCTATGCAATCCACACCTACCGCAAACGCAGAGCTCGCTCCATCCACCTCACCTGCATGGCTGTCTGGCTCAGCTCATTGCTTCTGACTTTACCTGATCTCATTTTCATGGAAGTCTGGAGAGACGACAGCAACCRCAGTATTTGCTATTTTCCGGAGGTTGGGATCGATGGAAACAATGCGTGGCTGGCAACCCGCTTCCTCTACCACACCGTGGGCTTCTTTGTGCCTCTGCTGGTCATGTGTTACTGCTACATGGCCATCATCCGGGCACTGTGTCAGTCCCAGCGCCTGCAGAGGCAAAAAGCTGTCCGTGTGGCCATCCTGGTCACAGGCATCTTCCTGCTCTGCTGGAGCCCATACCACCTGGTCATCTTCCTGAACACACTGACAAAGCTAGAAGCCTTCACCAAGAACTGCCTCCTGGAAGACCAACTGGACACAGCCATCATGGTGACAGAGGCCATTGGCTTCACACACTGCTGCCTCAATCCCATCCTCTATGCCTTTATTGGAGTCAAGTTCCGTAATGACTTCTTCCGGATCCTGCAGGAGCTGGGTTGCATAACGCAGGAGACCCTGCAGGAGATCCTGGAGGTGACAAGGAAGGGTAGCGGGATAGAGTCTGACAACACCACCTCTATCTCCACTTTCTAGCTGGGAAAGGCTGCCTGCAGGGCAGAACTGGCCTGGGGCTTTCCTTCCCAGTAGCACAGTTGCTGTGGTCTCAGTTACAAGTTTCACAAGCATCCCCACAACTTTCTTCATTCTTCACTAAACAGGTCCAATAGCCACCAAACACCCGAATCCCATCAGATACCTTGCCTGGCTTTTCCTGGTTCTCGTACTTGTAGAGATTCACTAAGCAGCTATTCGTGAATGCTGGCTGTCTGATGGTCACTCCTGTGTGGCTGGATAAACTTAAGTGCGTTGAACCTGACATTCCCACCTCTCTCTCAAAAAAAATGACTGCAGGCATCTTGTGCACAAAGCCAGGCATGAGACTGGGGTACCAGGGTCAGGGAAAGAAGTGCAGCCAAATAAATGCAGTGTCATGTCAGTAAGCAGGTCTCCATTTCACTAGCTCAGCTTGGTACAGACATGCCCAAAGGAAGCCATGGGACTCAGTGGCCATAGCCACTGGAGACATGCACGTAGGACCAGTGGAGGCTGCAGACCTCAATCCAACAGCGTGGGCATACAGTGCTGGACAGTCTGGCTGCAACATTGTCCTCCTGCTGTTTGACATCCGCCCATCCAGCCAACACATTCATCTTCCCAACACAGCTCATGCCAGGAGGTTCTCCCACAGACTAAAAGATTTGGCTGTCACAGAGTTATTTCCTGACACCAGTTACATCCTTCCCCATTCGTTTGATCTGTTTTACTGCTGTCATGATCGCCTGTGAGTGGCTGATGAACTGAATGCCTGACTATGCAAATGTTTCCCTTTAAGGAAAAACACCATCTGCAGGGATGGCGTCTCTCTTGTGACGGCACATAGGGGAGAGAAACCAGACTGCTTTGTAAGGATGAAGGTATAGCTTTTTCTTTTTTTTCCGGGGCAGCTAGTTGTATGGCTATTTGTGGGTTCAGGGAGCTAGGAGACCCACTGCCCCAGAGTAAGGGAAAGAGCTGGTTTGCATAATTGCTCTTTGTTTTTAGCAAGGCTAGAGGAAATGTAGTGTTTTGCTTTGCACTATGCTTTCTGGTATTTTTCCTCCACCTGCATCTACAGGGCTTTCAGAGATGAAATGCCTTCAGGTGTACAGAGAGCAAACATGGCTGGTGAGCTTGCCCTGAACTGCAAGTACGCAGAAACTGTACAGATCAGGGCAGTTTGATGATAATTTGGTTCAAAGTAAGAGCAGCAGTTTTTCCCATCATTAATTCTTTCACGGCAAACTGGTGTGCGGGGAAGCCCCAGCAGACTCAAGACAGCCTGTTGCTGCCTAGGAGGTCTTGTCATAGTTTAACATGACAGCGGGCCCATAACAGTGCTCCATGACATTTCTGTTCCTAGAGAGTTCTGTGGCCTGAAAGTAGGAAAGCCATACACACCAATGTCACGTAAGCATGATCATCATCATGTGCACATTTTAAAATCTGCTCTACCCTCCAACTCACATTTTAAGCAGTGTCGAAACAATGTCAGTTCTCCTGTGGCATCAGGAATTATGTGCTAACCTCACTTCTGAAGTACATCCCACTAGCAGGGAGATGAACAGGTGAACTTCACAGTACTCAAGGGCCCTGCGAAAAAGACCAGCCAATATGGAAGAGGTCACATTACCTCTGCCTGACTCAGGCAGAGCTCTCAATAGCCTATTCTCACATTGTGACTTGAGGAGAAAATTGATCTAGTATAAGGCAGTCCACCATTTCCTGCAGCACCGCATCTTCAAAGATAAACTTTCAAGTAACGGCAATTGTAGTTGTTCAAGCACATACAGCAGAGAAGGGCAGGTCTCTTAAGCCTGCTCTTGGGTTCTCCATGGTTGTACCAGTGAGCAAACCCATTGCAGTTGCATTGTAAACACCTCCCCAGCAGGTTATGGTGACAACTGTGTTTCTACATGAAAATGTTACTGAAAAAAATAATGGTTAAAGTGTAAAATTCTTACAGTGGTCACAAAGTGAAAAGAAAGGCTGCACACAAATGACAGTGAACAGATTACACATCTGTTGTTACTATCGCTTTTAGCACTGGTATGCACAAACCTTTAGGAAGTTTTGAGGTAAGCTGTATTAAACAGTTGAATAAAACACCATCTTCTCATGTATAGTGCTTGTGCATTTGTCTATCTTTCTTTAAGGGAAACATGTTGGAGAGCACTAAACGGGCACCTTTCTGGCAAGCTCTGCTCGAAGGGCTCAGAGGAACACCTTGCTCAGATTCCCCTTCACCAGAGCTGCAGAAGGCTCTGCTGTGTTCGGAGTCAGTTGAGACCTACATTAGCTCTCTCCTTTACAGAGCCTCTTCCACCAACTACAGCACCTTCTGCCCCAGTTTTACAGCAGCTGCTAACCTGACTGGAAAGCTGCCCTTGCACCCATATTTGGCTCAGATAGCCTGGGAATATGGCTTGGCCCAGGGCTGGCAGACCCTTCCCCAAAGGGTTGCCACTGTTCCTCCTACAGCTGCCTGCAGCCAGCCTGCTGAATGGCGACAAGAAGAAAGCAAGAGGAACTTCCCTTCACCGCAGAGGAAACTCTGCTTTCCACTCAGAGAAACCCTTGCTGTCTCCTCAAGGTTTGCATGGCTGTCACAATGCCTTGCCCTAGAGTGGGCTTCCCTGTTAAGTAGTCGTGCTGCTGAAGCCACCCCCTCAGCCCTCAGGCAGACCTTCAGCCTCCTGTATGGAGGTCTGCTCAGTCCCTATCCCACCACTACCAAGTGAGTCAGATGGACTCGGCCCACCCAGGCCACAAGGAAGGGGGACTGAGCCAAGGTGATCTCCAAGGTGGCTCCTGCAGAAAGTAGGAGATGGTGGACCGGAAGGCAATGCCACCATCATCCACAGCACACCCTCTGCACCCCCAGTTCTGGACTGTGCTCTGCAAACAAGGGTCCAGCAGACAAACCAGAGGAAGCCCTGGTCTCTGATGAAGGCAACCCTGAAGATGGGAACACAAAGACCCTCACAACAGCACACTGCTCTGCATTTCCTGCGGGGCAACCAATTCTCCCAAGAGACATAGGTGGGGTGTTTCAGCAGAGCATCCTGCTAGATACACACAGTGACCACAGGGCCATGGCAGGCAGTGGAGCATGAAAGGGTAAATGCATGTAAGGGAACGCATGAATGAATGTGTGCCTGGGAGTGCTGCAGAGAAGGGGCTCCCCTGATGCCCACACAACCCTTCCAGCACCTCTTGCACTCTCTATCTCTGCTGCAGTCCCATGGAAAATCACGTGGGAAAAGACAAGCACAGGGTCAGGTCTTGAAATTTGTCTTTTTAATAAAAAGGCACCTATAAAACAGGTCAATACATTACAGGCAGCACATATACCCAAAAACAAGCCTAAAAATTGTTTCAAATAAAACCCAGTAAGATGTCTTCACATATTGTATTTATATATTTATATTTATATATATATTTATATAATGGTACAAAATGACTGGGGAAGTTTCTCCATGGGATAACAGAGAACAGGTCAGTCACCTTTACCTCATTGTGAAAGCTAATTCCAGGTGTGTGATTATTTGACATACTGAAAGATGCAGTTTCCCAGCATTTGCTTTTTTGGAGCTGGAAAAACATGGCAAAGTTATGGCTAAAAGATGGGCAAACCTTCTACTGTGATTAGGTGGAGTCAGTACACAGAACTCAAGGTGAGGAGCTGAGCAATAAACTACAAGACACAAGACTAGACACAGGTCATGGCAGCGGGCAACCAGCTGATGGCAAATCTTGCCCGGGTCTTACAAAGACTGGCTGTCACTGAGCCTCCAGAGGAACTCCTGCCACACTGCTGTTCACAGACACGACTGGGAGCAGTGCCCAGGGCAGAGGGGTGTTAGGCAGCATTTCTTCTCCCCATTGTTCAGCCATCACAGTAGTAGGGGTAGGGCTGGCTCCAAGACAGTGGGATTTTGCACAAGAGCACCGACTGCTGCTCTGGAGTCCTCAGCTCTGACCTAGCATCAAGATTTCCCTTTTGTATCCAGGGCTGCTGAGTCAAAAGGCCTAGCTTCTTATTTGTCACTGAAGGATAGGTCTTCCACCTGTTGCCAGGCAGAAATAGCATCGCACTGCCACGTCCCTGTGAGCGGTCAGCACCCGTCTCCTGAGCACTGCATGGCATGTGCCACAGCCTGCAGGCTCCTGCTGATGCAGGGACAATTCACTGCTGACAGAGTGAGGACTGCAAGACCCAGGCAGCTTCTGGGAAAAAGGGACAACAGGGAAAGTACAAACACATGGAGGTATCAACCAGGCTAAAASAACAGCTATCTACAGAAAAACAAAAAAACTTCCATATAGAAAATGTTATGGCTTTAAATTAGCCAAGACTTGCTGGTGGGTGATGAGCAAGGCTGAGGATGGTAATTGGTATTTGGATCTTTACAAGAAACTACCAGCAGCCAACACTCTGAAGTGCAGCCAAGAGAAGCTACAGCCTTTCAGGCAAGTCAAGCTTAGAAAGAGCTACATCCATTTGAGCCATATCTTCCTGCATGAAACACACACTGAAGGATCGAGAATCCAACCATCTAACACGTCAGGTCCAAGGCTTGGGCTGAAGATTATTCTTCTGGTCCAGCTGCCAAGGCAGGAACGGGCACTTCTCATGATTGTTCCTGTTTCACCACTTCAAAAAATGTTACTCACTCACATTATATACAACAAACACCCACAAAGCAGGAGACTGTAGCAAGATGCTTCTTCAGATCCAAACCCATGCTTCTCAATCAGTATTGTTAACTACAAAATGCCCCAAAACTTCGATGTATTCCTACTGGACTTTTTGATCCATCTTCTCATAGATTGGATCAAGACAGCTGCTGGGCTGACATTTCAGCACTCACCACTCTTTCCAAACAAACTGCATTATGATAAAAATGGTTGCTGTTCACTCACTACTTGGTAATCTCCCTTTCCAAAGCTCTCTCCTCCCTGCAATAGCAAGCTGGGAAAGGTGAGCTCTGTTATAAGAGAGGCTGTGTATTAAGCCTGGCTCTGCAGAGATAATCCTGCAAGTGGTGTTCCTCCAGCAACTGTGTGCCTCAGGTTCATCACTGGATGCTGGAATGTAGTGCCCACACAGGTCCAGAGATACCGTGACAGGTGCAGAAACGCATGTGCATCACCCCACATTCCCCACTGTGAAAAAAACATGGGAAAGACCATCAAGGCTGCATGCAGGAAGCATATGGATTATAGGATGGGGAGGGTGGAATACATCCAGAAAAGCCAGAGTTGTCCAAATGGCACACTTCTGCCAGTCTAGGAATGAGAGATGGCAATTCAACTTCAGCTTCTTCTGTCTGAAGCACAGGATGGCCATGCTGCTGACACTGAATGCTGTGGTGGAGTATTGCACCCAGCGTCAGGTCCTCTTCAACAGCTGGACCGCTCCTGAGCCAAAGGACAGGGCTGCTGCCAGTAGCTCAGGGTATGATGGAGTGGAGACTGCCTGCAAAACTCTGGAGATGAAGGACACAGAAGACCTGGGAGAGCATTCAATGGTGGGGGAGCCTGACACAGTGGCAAAGGTAATGGATGGGTAATAAACTGGTGTAGGAAGGCTGCAGAAGATCAGGGTTTCCAGCTAGCCTCTCCTGGAAGCACTGGAATGCACCACCTCACTCACCTCAAAGCCCATCTGTCCCTACACACCACAACATCATGCCAACAGAGGACACAGCAGGAGGGAAGAGAAGGGAGTAAAGGTGACAGGGCTCAAGACCTTCAGGTTCAGCATGTTATCATCTGCGAAGCCCAGATTCTTGATGCTGCTCCAGCTGAAGAGCCAGCATCCTTCCCATCACAGACAGAGCAGCTCCTCCAGAGACGAATAACATCTGCATCCTGTGAAGCTGCCAGATGAGCACCGCTCCAGCAGCATTTCACTGGGGCTACAGCTCTGCCTTCTTGATGGCCCTTGGTCAGTGGTTGTGTTTGTGTACTCAGCATAGTATCCATGTATCCACAGTACCTGAGATCGGTGTGACACTGCACTGCCCCGTCTCCTGCACATGCAAACCGTTCAGATTCGTGAACAACACAGGTGTGACACAGAGTCACTCTACAGTGGCATCTCTCAACCCTCTGTGCACCCTGGGGGTCCTCCTGCCTCCCCCAAGGAGAGTCGTCAATCCTTGTACACCTTGTTGCCTTCAGCATGATTTTGTTTGTTTCTGTTTTTTAAAACATATTTTGAGGCTTCTATTAAAACACAGAAATACAGAACAATTAAAAACCAGCACAATTTTTGCCTCTCCCAGCGACCTATTTACAGCTAGTTCCAAAAACCCTCTTGCACATTTTGGTTGTTTAAAAAGGAAAGGAAAAAAAAAAAAAAAAAGAACGGAGAAAGAGAGGGGGAAAATAGGGCAAGAAAAACACTTGACAGAGGAAAACCATAAGTGAAAACTTTACAAACTGCCACAAGGTCTGGATGTCCCTTTGTCCGCAGGGTTCAAAGTAACACTCCCAGCCTCTCCACCCTCCCCTTCCCCAAAAAAGAAAGGAAAAAGAAACCCAATTCACATCAAGTTTACTGCACATCTGGTTTGCTGTGTAGAGGTGAATCCGATATGAAAAGCATCCCACGTGGTGTCCCTCCACCGGCACTGGCCCCCAACCCTCGCCCACAGAAAGGTTTAAAAATGTTTGTAGGGGCAGGCCCATAACCTCCCTAGCCCTGAGCGCCAGCCAGGGTTAGAAAGGCAAGTTCGCCATGTTCCCAGGCCCAGGGATGTAACTCATCTGGCTGTCCAGGGAAACACTCCTCTGCCTCAWCTGGTGCGTGACCATGAGGTTCTGCTGAGGCGGGGGCCCCATGAGAGAGCCCTGAGGTGACATCATATGCCCTGTCTGGGCATACATCTCCCCCGACACAGACATGCTTCTCTGCTTGGCCTGCATCAGCATGAAATTCTGCTGGGCCATCAGGCTCTGCTGCGGAGACATCATGCCCTGGTGCATGCTGTTGCCCATCATGCCTTGCTGGGGTGGTATGCCTGTCCTGCCCAGCATGGGCACTTGTCCAGGATGGCACATGGGCACGCTGAGTCCCCTCTGCACACCCTGCTGCCCGGAGAGGCTGGGAGCATTCATACCTGGACGCACAGAGGGCTGCTCAGCCATCATGTTCTGCAGGTTCATGAGGTG